ACCAGGAGGCCAGCAGGCTGAGCTGTGGTCATCAGGTTTCTGTGACATAGCAGGAGCCTCTGCCACTGAGGGAGCCCTTGCCTTCCATTGTGTTGCTGTGGTTGTCACACAGGAGGGATCTGGCGAAGATCTCCCTACTTTGATTTATGTCCTAACTGGTCGCAATTCCATGCTTGTAGAAGCTGTTCTTGTATGCAGTATGCTCTGAAACATGCAGTTCCTTTAGATCTCCCTTGACAAAGAATATGGAATTTTAACTACTTAATTTACCATAAGCTAACTGTCTACATGCACTTAGTCTCCAAGATTCCATCTGCTATTGTGTGACCTACAAGGTCTCTCTCACATCAATGCTTTTGGCTTTGAGCCTGTTATTTCAGTAATGCTGTAACGTGGAGTTCAGTCATTCCACCATTCAGGCAAGAAAACATTCCCAAGAAAACAGCCCAACTGTTAGACATTGGACTCTTGCATTCCTAATAATTCATGTCCTATTGTACCACCAGTGCTGCTTGAGACAATTATTCCCCTCAGAGACAAGCTTGACATAATTTCCGTGAAGAATCAGCTCAGAGGATCTCAGATAATAGTGCTTTGGTTTTGCTTAGTCCTATTTGTCTCCTACATTTACAAAAGTTCAAGCATCTCTGATATCAACAAGTCTCCTTGTTTCAGTTCTCTTGCAAGCACACTGGAACCTATTATTCTACCCAATACTAGACAGTCATTTAGATGCCTGAATTATAACAAATTACCTGCGTAATGACGAAATGTGGTCCCCTGTCCCTAAGGAGCCTGGCTTTCTGTTATGGACTACGTACTGGATAAAACTGACTCTTAACATAAGGCATAATTTGGTGCTGGTGTATAAATTAGGGACTAGCACCAACTGCCAGCAACTGCCTCAGTACCTTGACATTTGAAAGCAGCATTTTTACAAAATATAGAAGCAATGAGTTTTCTTTTCCTTCTCTACATATGGCTCATTATACTTTTGTCTAAGAGCCAGTCTCTTATGTTACTCTGACTGCTTTATATCACATGCAAGTGGAGAATAAATTTTTTTGGTAGTTAATTCCAGTATCTTGCCAATTCAGTTTGTTACACTGACTCTGTGGTCATTGGATACTTCAATATATTTTATCACAAGAACTGTTAAGTGCATGAACAGTTTGTAAGTGCATTATGAATCATATCCTTATTCTGGTATTTCTGATATGAAACTAAAGTGCCTTTGTGTGGCTCTGTTGCCTGCATTTTATTCTCCTTTAAATGACATTGACAAAGGATTTAAAAAATCTGAAGTCATAATTCAATTCTGATGTTTACTATGGATCAGATAATACTGTAAAGCGATGTGTGATTTTTTTTTTTTTTTTTTTTTTTCTTTCTGGTTGAAAAGCTGATACTGAAGCAAAATAAAAAAAGAGGATGTGGGCTAAATAAAACTGAATAATTACACTGTGGAAACAAGTTAAGTTTATGTGGAGAAATGATCAGAATAATTGGTTTATCTGCAGGCTTGATTACTATATGGAATTAAGGAAACATGAGCCAGAATAAAATGTTTATTTAACTCTTATTAAATCATTCACTATTCAGATAATTTCTCAGTGTACTGAATCATCTTGGGGAAATTAGAGGTCTGTAATTTTGCAAAGACATGGGCTAAGCTGAATCTTTAAAAGAACATATTCCTCATTTGGTTCACATCGAGTAGCCCGCATTGTCATTTATTGGCCCCTGAATTTTTGCCAGGCATCTTACAAGTTCCAAAGTGATGTGTATTGATTTTTTTAAAAGCGTAACGGAAGAGTACTTCAAGACATAATTATTTCAAAATTGAAATAATTAATTTCAAGAGGTCAGCAAAGTAGCAGTTAGAAATATTCTTAACTATGTTCTAGAAACAATAACTACTTTCTGAAATTTTCTAACAGCAAAACTTTAAAGAGTTGAGAGGCACTTTTATCTTAGGGTTTCACAACTATTTCAGTTTTACCATCTTGTCTAGTAACAGGATTTGAAATGCATTGAGTATCTTGTATTAGACTATTAATGTGAATTAACATAGCTTATTTTCCTTTTTTAAAGGTGTTACTATAAAATAAGTTAATGTTAAAGGCAGCACGTCATTAATTATTTTACATTCAGCATTCCTTTTATATCTGCTGGTAAACACAAGAGAAAGAAAATCTGATTTTCTGATACACAGTTCAGAATTTGTTTCTTTTTGGACTTTCAAAACCTGAAATTATTGTTATCAAAATAAAAATGAAATGCTTATTTTATATAACTTCCCTTAATAGGTGTTGAAATCAACAGAGCATTGCTGATTTACAGCTTCTGGGACTGTGACTTACACTGTTTAATGGGAAGTGGCATTGCTATTCCAGAGATAACCAGCTGTCCCTGTCAAAACCAAGTTAGAGCAGAGTCTGTGCCAGTGAGAGAGAAAATTCGTAACAATTGTGTAACATAAAATAAATTTGAGTAAACTGTTTCTTGACGCTTTTACTTAGAAGGACTTTCAGTATGTTAGCAAAGGTAACATAAATTCCAGCTACCCTTGCCTAACTTTGTAGGATGTATCTGATTTAATTAATTAGAAGCATTAATATGATTTAAATGAATTCAGAAGACACTTTTCATCTCTATCACTGATCTATTCTGTTTTAAAATAGGATCTTAGTCCTTATGGCTATGTGAGGGGTAGGGACTGGACCACCAAATGGTGGCCACTTTTCTCCTTGGATTCTAGATGTTGGTAACCCTGTCACCTGCTGTGGCCCTGCCGGTAGGCCAGAGCACAAAATTCAGTTTTGAACAGGATCACAGATCCAGATGTGCCAGAGTTCAAGGGTTATTTCCCCCTGAGTTTTGGTTGGGCAATAGACAGCAAGGCCAGAAGCAGAAGTCTTGCCTTGAACCTTTTTTTTGATTGCCCTTCACTGCAGCTGAGGATGGCAAGCTTAGCTTGCTGCTCCATCTTGGTTTGACACTAATGAGAAACTGTACAAAAGCCACAGAGAGATAACTCAGAAGAAATGAGAGGGGGGTTTTGTAGATTGTATTGACATTCAGTGAAGTGGTAATATTTCCTTTCTGTGGGATATCTGTGTTTGCAGTAAATGAAATGTAAATAAACTTTGAGGAAATGCTCGTTAAACATTTGAGCTATTAATCCTGGTGCCTTATATTTTAAGGGTGAATAGATATTCTCTGCTCAGCTTCAGGTTGTCACTTACATTGGAGAAAATAAGTAAGAGTTTAAACAAGTAAGAATTTAAAGAGAGAAAAAGACAGTGAGTTTCTTTCTTTTCTTTTTTTGTTTGTGTGTGTGTGCACAGATATCGAGAAGGACCTAGCGCTATGGGAGGAAGCAAAGCTCTCAAGAAGCCCTACTATCCAACATCATAGTTTAATTACATCTGACCATCAAGGCAATCTTCAAGCTACACAGGGCCAAAATCCGAGGCCTCAGGTGCCAACTCAGACAGGGAAGAAAATTCAGCTCCAAGGAAACAAGTCACCACCTCTGCCCACTAACAGCAGAACAGAGGTCTCCAGCACTGCAAACAGTAGGCCTCCAACGCCTAGTGCACAAACCAACAGGCCGACAACTCCATCAGCTCCAGGGAGCAGACCTGTGACCCCAAATAGCTTGCTCTCTCGGCCTCTTACCCCTAGCAACCAAGGAAATAGGGAAGGCATCATTAGTATGCAAAGAAGCAGGTCTTTGACATCTAAGAGCCAAATGGGGAGGACCCTCAGCGCTGCTTCGGGGCTGTCTGTGCAAATGAGTGGAGACATTGTTGGAACTGTCACTACTCAGAGAAGCAGTTTATCAGAAGTAAGATTTTCAATTTAATGTTTTTGCCATGTTTAAGAGATGCTATAACATGAAGACTAGATTGTATTTTATGTTGAAGTAACATCTGTACACCTGATGTAACTTACTACTCTGAAAAAACCTTGAAATATAATGATGAGAAATGAGCAAGGTAATACTGCTCAGCTTTGAGAGGTACTGATTAGAGAATGTCAGGATTATTACAGAAGTCATACTGAAACACTCGTGCCCCTCCAATTTTCCATGAGCTCTGTAGGGTTTTGCCTGCATAATGCATAGCAATTTTATTAGCCTTACAGTTTCTAAGAGGTGTGTGCCTCTGGAATATTAAACAGAACTTTATTTTATCTTTATGATTTCAAGGTATTTTTCCCCTTGGTCTGCTTTTTCTTTCATTTTTTGGACACAAAGGAATGATTAGTTAGGCATCGCTGAATGGACAAATTATCCAAAACACAAAACTGAACTGCAATGAGAAAATGTCCAACATCATTGAATCGCTGTCTAATACTATGTGCATGTAAACTAGGCTCACTCAAAGCATAAAAACTTCCTGTCCCGTATTAATGGGTTTTACAGGATTAGTCTTTGTTTAAAACAAAACAAAAAGTTAAAGTACCTTTTAAATCTTGAGTGGGATTTTCCTCTACTAACCTTAGCTGCCTTAAAGATAACTTTAGTGTGTAGGCAGTGGAAATAAAAGCACCTGTGAAAGAATACCCCTGCTGTCTATCTCAGATACATGCCTTACAAAGGTGAGTTTTTTCTCAGGAAACGTCAGTCCGTCCATACTGACTTGAGAAGGACCTATATGTCTAGATTGCTGATTTTTTAATGGTGAAATAAGTCAGTTCCCACAATTTATTGGAAATCTCTTTGTAATCCATTTGTCAAAGCCTGGAGAGCTTTTTTCCAAGACTGATAAAAATATCATACCTTTAGATAATTGTTTCTGAGAAGTATCATTTTTGTTTTAAAAATCTGTTGGGTATGACACTTGACACAGTGTATTATCAGTCTAACGACATCTTTAAAAAAGTCAAAAAATGTTGTTTATAATAATATTGCTTAGAGATGCTTGTAGGAAAATTAGAGATTTAATACTTAGTATAATCTTGCAATTAAGTATATTGTGTCCATTATTTGTTGTGAAAGAAAGGAAATGAGGCACAGAACTCTAAAACTGAAGAATTTTGGAAAATTTGGTGGTGAAAAAAATCCTCATTTTGGTGTTTGAATGGCAGTGTACTAATCCCATCGTTTGAGCTACTTCTTCATCTAGAATTGGTTATCCCGTTTAAAGACATACAGACTGAAGGTGACTACAGTTCTGTCAAAAGTATCTTTACTGACAGTTGATTTTCAAACCAGGAGTTTTCCATGGGGGAAAAAAAGAAATTGTAACAATTTTTTTTTTTTTTTTTTTTTTTTAACAAACAAACCCCCTTTGTTTCCCGTTTTGAGGGGTGAATGTGTTTGTGTGTTGGAATTTTCTCACATACCAGAAAAACGAGAATTGAAATTATTTTTTAACTAAAAATGTTCAGAAGAAATGAAGGGTTTCATTATTTCCTGTTAAACACTTCACTCCTCTCTTTCTTTCGTTCTTTTTTAAGTAGTGCTGTTCTTAACTGGTGATACATAGTCATGTGATGCCAACTAGAATTATTGTATAGGCTCCTGAAAGTGCCACATAATGAGCACTACATCTCCACCAAGGGACATCCAGTCTGTCCATCACTTCTGATCCTTCCTGTAACAAGACAGGCAATTAAAATTGTTTCTTCCACAGCTTTTCTGTAGATATACTAATAATAACCAAGAGTCCCATTTCATTTGCTGTGACTTGTTACTTCTGTTTGCACAATCCCATTTTGCTGATGACACTTATTGTAAGAGCTATCATGTTATATAACACGTATATATATGTCTGAAGAACTTTAAGAAATGAGCAATTATTACCCTGTTTTACAGTTAGAATAGCATGTCCAGTTTCATCCAGCAAGCCCATTGTAAAGCTGGTGTTAAATCTCAACATTTCCATGCAGGATCTTATCCTCTGTTATAATCCCTTCCAGAAGTGAGAGATTCTTTTCTTTCTCTTTGCTCCCTGGGTACAATAGTACGTTGGCTGCTAGTGACCCAGCTGTTTATCCTTTCTTGACATGCATAAGTGACCTTTGACTTAATAGAAACTCATCTTGGGACTAGCTCTTCTCCCAAGGGGAGAACTGCTAATATGACATGTTCATACTGAAGACCTTCCTCTGCTGAGCTGTAAAGTCAGTAAGTAGCTGGTGGAGGTCTGGCCAATCTGCCCCTCGCAGCCCCATCTTTGGAGTGTTATACTGGAAGCTTTGGGAAATCTTTTAAGCCATCTTTGCCCACTGAAGTTCCTGGTCACTTAGAGAAGTGGATTTAGACATACCCAGGAAGTATCTCTGTTCAGTGACATTTTTTGCTATGTTAGAGGTGTCCCCCTCTTTGTGGCCGTGTGATTTCACTCTCTTGTGTCACGGCTTCTCTCTGACCATGGAGACAGATTTTTAAAAGCCAAAGTTGGCCTGGGATAAGAGAACAGAGTTCTGTCTGTCTTTGTATTTTTACAGATCACAGACATGTAAAACTCAAGGCTGATATTGTAAATTATTTTTGCAACTTTCATTGTAGGTTTTGTATCCTCTTCCTGTATAAAAACCAGTAAAATAAAAGAAGGGAAATTGCCTTTGTTCTTCTTAGCCTTATGGTGTCAACTTGGAATTTCCACTAGATGTGAATACACTGTGTTATATTGCCAATCCTCTAGAAGATACTATAAGATTTTGCAAATAATTCTGCTTCATTACTCTTAGGTGGTGCTAATGGAATTAACTTGTATAAAGTTGATACCTATTTGATGGGAATAAGTCAGTTGAAAAGGACGTGATTACTGGCCACCAGGAATGTGTTTTACCATGAGGAGCTTGAATTAAAGAATTCAGAATCTGCGTGGGTTTGCACAGTGTGCTGTCACTGGTTTATTTACCAGGAATTTTAACATATCTCTCAGTACCTTATGTATGCTTCTTAGTTTGTAATGTGTTTCAGAGTAACATAACAAGTCTAAAATACAAAAATATTACTGATAAATACAATTCAGAGTTGTTCTTGTGTTTTAGTAAAGTTCATGCTGTTGCTCAGGGTGGTTTAGTCTTATGGCACAAATCTTAAATTTGTCAAGTACTTAACATATCAGCTGTTAAGAATTTTTTAGGGTTTTTTTAATGCTCAAGACTTACAATGATCTGAGATTTTGTGGATGAGTTTCTGCCTCTTGGCACACATAATATTACGAAGTTCTAACAGGTGTGTTTTATTATCAGTTCTGTTCAAGACTGAATTGAATTATAGCAAAGAAATGCTACCTAGAGAAATAGTTTTATTATCTCTATAAAACTAATAAATCAAGGTTCCAAATCCTTTGGCACAGATACTTTTAGGCATTCGCCTTATCCTTTGGTGTTTTGTATAAATCGACAGAGGAATGTTGAATCCTGCTTATCTCTTTAGGATGGATTCCATTAAAGTGACACAATTCTGTGATGGTTATCAATAGTTGTTTGAGATGAAAATACTACTGACTCCCTTGTTCGCCATTTCATTTTATGAACACTTGGAATTTTACAATCGCTTTATTTATCCAGATAGTTTAAAGTGGTAGTCAGTAACCTTTATTGGTCTGTTATTGTTAACAGCAGGAAATTTCAGCTTATTTGAATATAGTATTGATTAACACAAGTTTTCCTCCTACTTGCTGGAGTATAGAGCATAACTTGATGTGATGTGGACTTTCTTCTTGGTCAGATCCTTCCATTCTGTTCTGCTGCCTGGCACAGTTCTTTGCTTTGAGTTTTCAGAAGATTAAGAAGTATGCTGATCAATGTGAGAGCCACTTGCTCTTCCTGCAAGAGTCCTGTTCTGTGAACAAAAACACTTTGCCCAGTTCAGTGCTGTGGTCAGCAACCTTCTCAAACACTGAGCCCATTTGAAATGGCAAAGGGTGTAAGGCCTGGAGCTCCTGCCTGAGCCTAATTAGTGTTGGGCCATTGCAGCAGGCTTTGTGGATTTTTTAACAGATTACTGACAGAATTAATCTTTTACTCCTAGTGAATTAGACCTTGATGGAACAGCCTTCAGTCTCCAAGAACTGATTTAAACAAGTCTGGTTTCTGTTTTTTAAACCAGATGGCCAAACAATAAAAATTATGCTGTAGGACTGTGCAATACAATTTAATGTTGAATATGTAGATTCTGGTTTTCAGCTGGTATAAAAGAAGACAGGGCTATTACCCCCTTTTTTCCAGGTACTTATAATAATCTGGCCAGTAATCTTATGGTATGTGGCCAAAGTTTAAGTTCTCTTTTAAAGACTAGACTTGCATGTTTGAACCTCTTTTGAAAATAAAACTATGCATTCCAGTCTCATCTCTCACCTTGAATATTGCAAAGGAACCTGTCAAAGTATTTCATATGTCTATGTGTGTATGTGCTCCCATACATATATGTGTGTGTACGGAAAAAATATTTTTATATACATACATACATAATATCAAAAAGGAGACAATTGTAAAACATTTTGAAAAGCATATATTCAGCTGCGTATGGATTTTTAACCGTATAAAACATTTCTATTTTGATGCTTAGAGTTTTGTGGTATCTTGGAGACAAAAGTTTCCGTAGCTTTTTTTCTTGCTAGGCTTTCTCCTTCTGCAATAAAACCATAGGTTCTAAATCAAGTTTCATGTCCTTGTTCTTACTGGATTTGAGACAGTGAAAGTTCTGACAAATCAAAGCCTTACTTAAGCAAATCATGCATGACATGTCTAGGCATAGTCCAAAACCTGCAGGGACAGATGGAATATCTGCGTTAAGATTTTGTTCTATGTCGCTGCATTTCTGAGATGAGTATGTATATATCTGTGGCTATAGCAGATAGCTAGAAAGACTTTTTTTCTTTTTTTTTAGAATAGATAAATAAATAAGGATTAATTAAAAAAAAATTCTAGGGAGCCTGCATAACCTCTACATTCTGGTTTTATTTCACAGCAAGATATTTTTTGTTGTTGTTGTTAAAGGCTTTCTCCTCTCTAGTTAATTTAGGCTGGAGTGTTTGCTATAGTCTGCATTTATGTGGAACCATTCTTTGTAATTTTGTCTAAAATAGATCTGTTTGTGACAGGATGAATTCTTACAACAGCTTCAGCTTCCTCATCAACCTTGGATATTGCTGAGTGACACAGAAAGTGAAGGAGTAGAAGCTGACCAAGACAAATGTAAGTATGTTTGTTAGGATCAGATAATATGTCAAAACCCCTCAAACTTTTAACTTCTCTGTTTCATATATTCAAATCCCGTGACATCGTGCCTGCTCACAGGAGCTTTTCTCATAACTACCACTTACTCATTTGTTTGAGGGCTGAGCTTTATAGGATTGATTTACATAAGGTTTCCGGCAGTTGGTGAACAATGACAGAATGATCACAGACCATGTTTTACTTAGCTAAGTGAAACAATTTGTCCTGATGAGTTAAAGTAGCTGTTCCAGAGAAGTAGCATGAAGTTGAAATAGACACTCTTTAGTAAATCTGTAGTGACCAGCAAAAACACCCACAAAAACACCCATCAGCTCTGAAAAGTAGAGCCTTCCTCCTCAGGACTGTGACTCCATTATCTCTATTTTACCTGCATTCTTTTGAATTCCTCTGTATGAAAAAAAAAAGTTCTTAATTACACAAGTAATCCTTAATATCTTACACTCTTTGAAGCAGTTGTCTAACCATGAAAGCAAAGGTCAGCAGGCTTATAACCTAAATGACAGAACAAGTACCTACAAGTAACATGCTATAAACTGCCATACATTCAGACTGTAGCGAGTTCTGTCTGCCTGTAAGGTACCTGTAAATAATCTTGCTGTAAATATTAAATGGTTTGCATTTTCTTTAATTTACAGTAGTTTTGTGATCTGCAAGGGTGAATGTGCAAACTATTTCCTAACATATTTTAGGTGATGTACTTGAAAAGAAGAGGTGATTTAATCAGCATGTTTAGAAAACTTAATACATTTTACTAAAACTGCTTTTAACATGCAGAGTTAAAATAAGAAAAGCCAATTTCTTCACAGAATGGAACAGCTGTGTAAGGGATTAATGATTAATAATAATCATGCCAGATAAACAGAACATATTTTTAAATTATGCCACCTGAAAAAAAATGTTTTCTATTCATATACCAGTTTCACAAATCCATACATAGCCTAGGGTTTGAATATGAAGTTTCAATTTACATAGTGATACTGAAGAGCATGTGCCAGTTTTTTTAACACTAGTACTGTGATAAAATAAAGTTCTGTGTGTGCAGCTGATTTTAGTCCAAAGCCAGTAAGTCCAGTTTGACTTGCACCTGAACCTTTCACTTATCTTTAGGCTGAAGCTCACCTTAGATGACCAAAGGGAGAGCTTGGTACCTGCCTTTTCTGTGCACATGAATTTTCCTCTGTATTTGCTGTAATGAATTTACAGTCCCACAAATGTTGGTAGGACTGGCTGTGCACACAGATAGGTGCTAATTTTGTGATCAGGCAGACTGATGCTTCAAGACACATTAAATGCACTGCATGGTTCTTTTATAGCTGCTGTAACTGAATTGCATGGGTGTGGGACTTCTGAGCATCCAACATCCTGTGCTATAAAATTCCAAGAATCCTCATAGATCATTGTCACTGCCCATTGTGACAGAGTGGTAAATTACAGATAAATTTTCAGTCCTACCACCAGATCAGTAGAGATGATAGTTGCCTAACTAATAAAAATTGTTGTTCCTGGATCTGATAGCACTGAGGACAGAGAAGGGAAAGAAGGTAGCTGTAAGCTATAGTTTCTGACCAGAAGTTAAAGCATGTTGTGAAGGGCGTTGGCCAAATGCCTGTTAAACACTGACAGACTTTGGGAATCAACTGCCTCTCCAGGAAGCCTGTTCCAGGGTTTGACCACCCTCTCGATAAAGAAATGCTTCCTAATGTCCAGTCTGAACCTCTCCTGGCCCAGCCTTGAACCATTCCCATGCGTTCTGTCACTGGGTACCAGGGAGAAGAGCTCAGCACCTCCCTCTCCATGTCCCCTCCTCAGGAAGCTCCTTTTCTCAAACTAGGCAAACCCAAAGTCCTCAGCCGCTCCTCCTAGGACATGCCTTCCAGCCCTTTCACCAGCTTTGTTACTCTCCTATGGACACATTCAAGGACTTTCACATCCTTCTTAAATT